AGGGCTAAAGCCATAAATTCTATTTTATTTATCATCTTTACTGACATAAGGAGTATAAATTTTAAACTTCACTTTATAGTCAATTCACTTATGAAGTTTATTTAAAAAAAAAAAAAAAAAAAAACAAGATTAAACTAACTCATCTTGGCAAAATAACTATAAATTTTGCATTGATCTTATTTTACTGTAGCATGGCTATATGCCAAAGCTAATATACCACATATCAGTACAGACTGATAACTGAAGGTTACATAAAGGACTAACAACCTCTTAGTGGACAGGAGAAATGCTTTTTAATCTCTACTCATTCTGGTTTCAATTATGGTACTTGCATTTTTCAGTTTTAAAAAATTATTGAAATTTCTGTCATCAATGGCACCACTAAATACTTCAAGTTGCTATTAGCTACCAAAAAATGAATTTTGTTTATATACCACAATCGGTTATATAGTTATAATTACTCACTTTCTTTTTATTTTTAAAATATTTTATCTGAAACAATGCAAATAGCATCCCATTCTATAATGTTTAACAGTACAGAACACATGTCCATCATCACTGAAGTTCCAGTTGACTGAAACACTTCCTTGGGTAAGGTTAGATTTGTTGGGTTTTTTGGGGGGAAAAATATTAAAAACAGTTTAGAACTTCTTCCTGGACAAAGCTGTTAAATAAGTAAAGAGGAAAAATATTTCCAAATTATTAAACAAAAATGCTGCCAATATTGAAGAAAGATTAAGCGATAAGCAATTGCTCTGAGAACAGCTGGAAACAGAACTTCCATGAAGAATACAACAGCAGGTAAAGAATAGAGCCAAGAGCAGGTAAAGAATAGAACGAAGGAAGTTTAACCAAAAGCATATATCATTTTTCTTCAGATCTCAGTGGCCTGTGCACACTTCCCCCATCCTCTACCCCACTGGCTGAAAACACTGGGGTGAAACTTGTGGCAAGCTTTGGTATTGCTACTGGCTTGTGTTTTGTAATAAAAATTCTCAAAATTGGTGATCTCAAACTGTAACGGGAATTCTGCATTATCATCTAGCACTATTATTTTATTAAATGCCTGTTTAGACATACATTTTGAAAACAAATTCTACTGCTGGAACACGACTTTTCAAGTAGCCCTTTATTTTGATGTGTGCATGTATTTTAATGGCAGCCCACCAACAGGCAGTTCTCAAGGGCAAAAAAAAAATAAAATCCTGATAACACAAATACATGGTGAAGGCTAACATTCTACACTCTTTACTAAAGCTGTTTGTGTCATTAATTACATTAGCTCTGTATTTAATCAGATTTAAATATCTACATGTGCAAATCTCACGTGCCTAACTTTAAAGAAAAGACAAGAGGTTATTTTGGTGATAAAATGCAAACCTAAAACTGTTCCCATATATGTGTTTGTGAAAGCTGTTTAAATATGTCCAATCATAACTCAAAGTTTGAAGCAGCTGGTATTAAAAATGAAAGAAGGGGAAAGGTAAAATGACAGTAATTGAAATGTCGGTATTATGGATAAAGTCAATCTTTCGAGCTCAAGATGCAAAGAGTTGATATCTGTGAGATGAGGAAAAGGTCTTAATTATCTAAGACTTTGTACAGCAATAATATATTTTTTGTACATTTTCAACTGAACTTCCCTGATTCTATTTTTTACCTGCTCTTCTATTCTTAATTCAAGTTCTGTGTTTCCGGCTGTTCTGAAAACAATCGTTCATTGCTTATTATTTTTTCAGCATTTGCCACATTTTTATGTTATCTGTAGCTTTAAGACTTCAGGTTACTAAAGATACTATACCGAATTTTCTAAAGCAAAACCATTCTATTCACTTGCTCTACACTACTTAAAACTTCTCAGAATATTTCTGGGTTTTTTTCAGGAAAATTTGCACAAGCTTGGGCTTTTTCTGGGAAAAAAATCTTGAAGAGAAATGTTTCTCTTTCAAGGTTTGTTTGGGGGTTTTGTTTGTTTGTTTGTTTTCTTAAGAAAAATAGTTATCATTTGCTTAAAGTTATGCAAACCAGGTTTAAACTGATCCAGCAGTGGTAAATTAGCCACCACTCTGGACAACACTGTGGTTAGGAAACAAAACACAGGATCTCGTCAACACTGGCTTCTATTATTCTAGAAGAAAAGCGTTACAGAAAACTGCCATTAAGGAATGTCCACACAAAGATCACAATCAATTTTACACATAAAGGTTCAAACTGCCAAATTTTACAAGTTACTATGTATCAACAGAACTGCAGTAGCTCTTCAGGTTGATGTTCAGTGCCATTGGCAAAAAGAGGTGACTTGTTAGAGTTTCAAAACTTTCCTTGTAGTCCGATTTAGAATAGGCTAATCAGATAACTCTAGCTTTAAATTAATCAGAGACATTTTGGTGGATCTGAAAAATAATATGTAATTAAATTAGGGCACTATACATGGCTGTATAGAGTTACAGCAGTTTAAGAATTAACTAAAACTTATTTAACGTACCAATATACCATTCTTATCAGAAACACAAATAATACTACCATAACGGTACGGTGATAGACTACTGGGATAGCTAGAGACTGCAATGAGTTGCACAAACATGTCAGTTAAACACTGCACGTAATCAGAAAAAAAGATGTCTCCTTTTAATGTCAGGCAACTTACATATTAAACGTTAGTACTACTACTAATAATCATCCTAAACCAAAAACCACTTAAAATTATATACAACAGTTTCTTTCATAAAATGTTTTTCTCAGTGAAGATTTAAATGTTAATTAATAGAATTCAGAGCCTTGAAATCTTGATCACCTGGGAAGGTGTCTACTATTGTGAAACTTACTGTTTTTTCATTTATTCTTCCTGTCTATTTAAAAAAATATATCCCAGTCAATTCCTTTTCCAATTTGCTAAATCACATTACTAAATTTATAGTTTACTAAGCTCAGGAAAAAGTCATCAGAACATTACACAATTAGCAACATATAGACAAAAAAACTTCACAAATTTCCGTGAATATCTCATCAAAAGACAACAGAACACCATTAATAAATAAATAACAATAATAATAAAAAAGTTCAATCTTACAGCTAGTATTTCTAAAATGAAAGCAATTACAACATTAGACTTACCATGGCTGTATTTTCAGGAAGTGAGTACTAGCCTCCACACATAACTTATCTTACTTTCAGGCAACATTTGTTATTTGGATATCCTAAACAACCTCATTTAATTTGTAATCACTATTTCCCCTTTACAGAGGGAGCAACAGGAATGAGGGTGAGTCAAGCTGCAAGTCATTTATTAGGGGCCAGAGACAGCAACACAGCACAAGTTTAAAGTCCCACAGAGTGCCTCCTTTAAGCTTCACAACTGACATTTCCCTATAGTTTTCACACAGTTTTATAAAAGATACTATTTAATAAATTATTGCCTCTATTCTCTATTTCACAGTTATGCTTGTGTAAGTCTGAACATTAAGAGAAGAGCATTACAAAAACACATTTGCCAGATAGAGCTGATAACACGAAGGCAGATCAGACCATCTAAGCTTCTGCTAAATGAAGAACATTCTGTACAGTATGTTCAAGTTCTTGATCCCATTTTATTTCAATAACTCAGAAAGACACACCATGGGGGTTTTTTATGCTTCTGAACTTCATGAGCAGAATTTTTACCCCATAAAGTTCAGTGCTCTGACATTTTAAGTCTTTTTAGCTATGCCAAATCCAGGCTACCGGGACAATTAAACTAATCTCGTTCATTTTTTACGCTCTTTATGGGCTGTTCATTACTAGTGACAAAAACTGTAAGATATACTGGACCAAAATGAAAACAAGAAAAAGAAAATAAGCAGCAGTTTGAGAAAGAAAACAGAAGTGTTAGATCACCCAGTTCTAAAAACAAAATGGAAAAGTGTAAAAATTCAAGGACAAGCAGAGCAGGTGAAAGAAGGAAAGACAGGGGACAGCACCACAAAACCCAGCAATCTTTTTTCCTGCCCCAGTCACAATAAATCCCTACCCACTCGGAGCAGCACACAGTGAAAGTGATCCATTCTTCCACAGCAATTTCTGCAGCTACTATTTAAGACCTCTTTCGGAGAAGGTATGAATAAATAATTCAGCTGGAAATACCTGTCAAGCAGCAGGATGTTTCATGCTACTGTACCTACAGCAACCCCATCCAACCAAGGAAAACCAGACGTTATCTGTCCACAGGACTGACACCACACTGCAATCTCACTTTACGGAGAGAAAGAGGACCCCACGGGCAACACGGGCACACGGCTTGGTACAAAACTTGCCTGCCCCAGCCCCTCCGTGCCCAAGAATTACAGTGCCCTATGCCCCAAAACGCCCGGGAAGATGGAGATGTTGATCACACCCCTCGACACCGGCCTCCGGGGGTCCCCGGGAGGGTCCCCCTGACACCACCCCCTCCCCCCTCCGCCGCGACGCTGCGGCCGCACCGCCGGGGGAAGGGGACGAGCCCGCCCCCTCCCACGGCGGCCAGCGAAGCCGTGACCCCCTCAAACCCTGCCGAGGGGGGAGAGGGATCCCTTCGCTTTCCCCTCACCTCCCCAGGGAGAGGGGGCACCGCTGTCAAACCTCTTCCCCAGAGACAACCCGTCCCCCCCGCCGCCCTCCCCCGCCCGCCATCCTGCCCCGCCCGCCCTCACTCGCGGCTCCCTCCTCCCTCCCCCGCCGCAGCCGGGGCCCGGCCTCGCCCCTCACAGCTTGTCCCCGCCGGTCTCCGCTCCATCCCGGCCCGGCCCGGCCCGGCCCGGCCCTCCCCGGCCCCGCCGAGCGGCCGCCGCTCGCCCCGGAGCCGCCGCGCAACCGACCCCCTTCAGCCGCTGCCCGCAGCGGTTTGCTCCTCCCGCACCGCTCGTCCGGAGCGCAGCGCCGCGCCGCGCACGCCCCCGGGGGAACAGCTCCTTCCCGGCTCCCGGTCACTGCCGCCGCCGCCGCCCCCGCGCCGCGGCACTGCCCCGGCTCCGCCGCGGGCGCCTCACCTGCATAGACGCCATGATGGATCCTCCCCCTCCCCGCTGCGCCGCCGGCCCGGGCCCACGGAGACGCAGCGCCGGGCGCCCCGCCCCTCTCCCGGTCATGTGCCCGCGCTGGCCGCGCATGCGCGGGGAGGGAGGGCGGGGCGGGCGGTCGCCGGGGCTGTTGGCGGCTGCCCCCGGCGCTTTCCTGGCCCTGCTCGCCCGGCGCCGGCGGAGGGACCGCGCCGGGTTTCCCTGAGGCCGGTGGCTCCCGTCCTGCCGTCTGCCCGCGGTGGGGGCCGGCCGTTACCACACGCGGGCGGCGGGAGGAGGCTGACACCCCACCTCCCGCCCTCGCCCGGCCGCTCCGTCAAAGCTCTTTAGATCTGGACGCCCAGACTCTTTAAGGGATTTAGCTAATGCCGGCTGTGCCCTTTTATGGGTTTCTCAGGGCTCCCCTCACGCCTGCCGTGTCCCGGCGGGAAGGTCGGCTTAGGGGCCATGGGCTCGGGGCCGTGGGGCCGGCGGCTGCCGTGGCGTGGGAGAAGGCCTGCCTGCGGCCTGCAGCGGGGGGCAGCTCTCCTGCTGAGGGGAGATGTTCCCCTGCTAGGCTACCCCAGCCTTCAGTCTTCACATAACCTGATCTTTCTGTGCTGGTGGTCTGGTGCTGTACATGCCCAAATTAGCATGGGCAAATTTTAAGTGGGAGCATTTTCTGAGTCGGTATTTTCCTTTCCCTGGGCTGGAACATTCTCTGTCCGTTGCACCGGATGATTTTGTGGTAACTGCACGTGAAAACAAACAAGCACAACTCACTAGAAGCAACCTGCATGCAATCAATAAATTAAGCAACTTGCGGAAATGCTTTTCATAAAGCAGCTGTAGTATTTCAGATGTAACAGATCCTCAAGATAAATTTACAAAGTGTTTTTTTCCAAAGACAAACCTATAAAACTTAGAATCCTAGTGGATATGTAAAACCAAGGATTTAATAGAGTTCAGGTTGTTATAATCTCCCATTTGCCCACTGCTCTCGCTGCACATTTCCAAAAACATCGGAGTACTTTTCTCTGTCCCTTCACACCTGCATGTTCTGATGATGCTAAAGAATCCCCTTGGGTCACCTCTGTTCCATCAGTAGCACCTGATTTTACCTTCAGAGATGGCCTAACTGATACACATCCAATTAAATTATTGAAAAATTGTTCTCAGTTTGTATTTACCTTTGAAATGTGCTACTTTAATTTTAGACCTAAAAAAAAGGTTCTGCATCTGAAAGCCTGCCTACTTTCTTCAACCGTATTATTTAGTGTGATGCAAGATTGCAAGATACTACTGTCTACAAGCTTTACCTCCTGGTATGTTTTCATGTGTCCTCAACTTTGAAAATGGCTAACTGGAGGAAAACAAAACCCCAGCACAACGCAGCATCAGCTTCCAACTTGTATTGTCAGCAGTGCTGCCAGTATCTTCTGGGGTTTGTTTAAAGAGGCGGGAGTATCCTTGCCCTGTGAGGTAGCTGCAGAAGGGAACGAGCCTCTTGGCTTTGTAGGAATTTGCTGACAGAATTGAACCTGTCAGTTTTTGGGTAGGAAAGGAGATTAGCCTACCAAAAGTAAGGATGGAAAAAGAATCGCCATTTAAGATGAGTCCTACACATTTTGCCATCTAAATTCCACCTCAACTCTCAGTCACAAACTGTGGGCTCCCGATGCTGTGCAACCTGGCATTGCTCTACTGACTTCATTTAAATAACACTTAAGTCAGAAGAGCCTTGCTCTATGTGTTTTCCATGGAAGTCAGTATTTATGTACTATATGTTTTTGCAACACCATTTAGGTTGCAGAGGATTTATTGCATTAAGTAGGCATTTAGATCTGGTAGATGTTTTTTTTTTTTCCCCGCAGTTCTTCAGAACTAACTTAGGCCGTTAAAGCATTAAGTGGAACATTGCTATTTCTGTTTTACTAGATGTTGTTGTTTTGCATGATCCAAACATATGTTTATCCTAAAATACATTTCTTAATGCCATATGCCACAAAGATAGCAAGAACATCAAGTTAAAGCAATGGACATGTGTTCATCTATAAACATGGACATATTGGCTATCCGTGTTGATGTAATCACAGTGAGATAAACTGATTTCAATCCATTATATTCTAGTTTCTTAACCCTGTTCCAGAAAACCCTACTGAAGGTCAGAAGATACAAAAAGGCATAAGCTTATGAATGCCAGCGCACTCCATAAACTGCAAGCTGGTTTTGCATGGAAAGATCAGCTTTGTAATCTTAAACTAACTGTAATCAGTACAAATATGACTTCTACTCTGTCATAAAGAAAAATTATCTGTGGACAGAAAGCCACCGTAGCAAAGTATCATAGCTTTTAACTGTGCTTATGGTCGAGAAGTCTTTTTTCCTATCACACAGAGCTTTGCAATGTTAAAAACAAGGCACCTACCACATTTTGGGCTAAAATACTGTTTACTGAGATAACTTAATCTATGATGCAAACCCCGTTCCTGCAGACAGCAGGCATGAAAAGCAAGGGGCAGTTTATCCTTCACATAAATTGAACACAAATTAATTACTACCCACCCAGTTTTAACTGAGTATGTAAGAAACTAAAGTGTTACTCTGCAGCTGAAATTTGTGAGCAGAATCCCCCCATTCCTAAATTCACTTTGAGTAGAGTTTATTCTTACAGGACTACCAAAGGTACCTTTTATCACTGTTGTCACATCTTTGTTTTTTAAAGTGTCTAATATAGATATGCAACATTTTTAGCTCCTTGTCATCATGGGAATAGGGGCAGCTGGAGAATTATCCATGTGTTTTCTTGGGTTTTTTTTCCCTCTTCCCATGTCTCAGTAACCTGGCTTACAGAGAGTACTTTTTAACAAGTGGTTTTGTACAGTGCCTAATGCTATAGGAATGCAATCCTTTAAGCACAATAAGAAAACAAACACTATTAGCAGACTCCCAGAAAGAATTTACACGAATATCAGTACTTTCTGCCTTAAATACAGTTTCATTCTTGATTTTGTGATGGATCATAGTATTCTTTGTTCTAAGTTATTCAGTAATCTCAGCAATGAAAGACCCAAAATCCCAGAGTAGGTAGATTTCACAAGGAGTTGGTTATATTGTAATTTGCTGTTCATTTCAGTGTTGACCTTTACCTATGAAAAATGTACAAGACAACACTTCTGCAGTTAACCCTTCCTCACCTTTTGCAGGAGTAGAGATAGCCAAATACTAACGCTTTCTTTTTTAAAAAACAAACAACTATTGTGTTGGCTAATGCAGCCTGATCCTGCACCAGTCAAACTAAGCTTTGCCAGAGACTTCGAGTATCGGAGTCCTAGGTCCCAAGTATGCAAAACTTCAGGGGTAAGAGGAATTTCATCTGTTATCTTCATTATTTCAGAAGCTTTCTTGCACTGATCTGATCAAATACATCATTATGACTCACATATAAACAACGTATAGAGCAAGTAATGAAAATTGTACCTCCTACTAAAATTGTTTCTATAAATATTAATGAATTTGATCTAAAAATCCACTTTTCTTCAGAGTTTACATTACCTTGCATTTACAGGAAAATTCAACTCATGTTCAAACTGCATTTATTAGATAATTTTCTGATATAACTAGCCAGTTTCACAGAAATCAAACATTTCTTGATTAGGGTCCCTGTAGTTTTATATTCCATTCCCAATGTTTTCCGTAATGTTTACAAACATTACCAAACATTTTTTTCCTCTGCTCTCCCTCTTTTCTATATCATTCTTCTACATACTGAACTACCCCTGCCTGCTTATTTACAGCTTCTGCTGCTGTAACAACACAGGAGCTTGATTTCTTTTGTCTGTGTCCACTGTACTTTTTTAGCTTTCCATCTCGTCTCCTTCACACACAGAAGTCAACTGTACGTTCACGTTAACCTCCCCTTATTTCTCCACTGGCGTAGCAACCGCGATCCGCAGTGCCAGGAGACCGCATCTCACGAGCGTGGAGGACTCCTGACCTCTCAGAGGAATTGTGCCAACTACTTCTTCCACTCCTGCCTGACAGTTTAAGGAAGGGCACAGTGTTTAAAAAGTCTGTGGAATAGAGATCTTCTGATAAACACAAGCCCGATGCACCTGCAGAAAATGCCATCTAAAGAAGTAGAATCAAGCCAAGCCAAGATTACATCGTGAATATAAAAGAAACAAATTGCATACATAGCTAAAAATTAAAAATACCCTGAATTTGCAAGATGTCTTTGAGCTGTTGAGATTTTATTGTTTTATTCCTTAGTGATAATGTAGGTTTTCATCAATGGTGTGTTCCATTTTCATCTTGTTTCTGAATAGTAACAAGCACATTATCACTTCCATCCCAGGACTTTCAAAGAGATGAAAGGAGGCTAAGGAAAAGAGAAGTTTCACCTTATTCCTGATCTGCTGCAAGTGCAGTGCCTGCAGAAGAGGGTATTCTTGTTCTTCGATATGCTTCCGTTTCTTCTCTTGTATAGGATTTGATAATTTTGCAGCCACTGGATGATCTGTGGCTTCCAGCTTATCCACAGGAAGACCAAACTACCAAAATAATTTTCCGTCAGACCAGAAAAAGAGTCTGTCTTATTATGTGGATGCACAGTTGTTGCAATTACTGCAGGAGAAGGAGGAGGACATGTGGCTAGGGAAAGGAGTGGAACTGCCTGTTTTCGTAATATGCCATAATTACCAATTGGTAGTAATTGTCAAGCTATGTTTTTTGGTACCTGTAGTCCTCTAACTCTTAAATGCTGTAAAGATAAATACCTATAAAGATGAAAGCTGTAAAAAATTAAAATAATGAGGATTGTATAGGACCTATACTCAATTAAATAGATGAATGCATTAAGAAATGCAAGGTCATGTAATTATTAGAAGTTCTTCCACATCAAAAGCCCCATTTCCAGAGCCCATATGAGCAGGTTGTGTCTATCAAATGGAAGGGTTCAGAGACTGTTCAGTGATAATACCTGTAAGATACAAATACAATTATTTAGTAATTTTAGTTTAATTCTAAAGACTGTGAACTGAAGGCTTCTCAGGTAAGCCCAAGAGTTACATGAATAACTATTTGATTTTGTTATTAGAAATACACAGAAGTGACTCTGACTTTATAACCAGTGAAGATACTGATAAGGAATTTCCAAAATTAAGTAGCTGTTTGGTCTTGCTTGTCTAGAAGCAAGATGAAATTTTTGGAGAAGAGGCGTCTCAGGTAACTCACACAGCTGTGCAATACACTGTCACAGCTCCCGAGGGATGAGAAGCAAAT